AGAAGCAAGGATGGTGAGACTTCGTCTCACATACTTCGGACATGTTATCAGGAGGGACCAGTCCCTGGAGAAGGACGTCATACTTGGTAAAGTAGAGGGTCAGCAAAAAGAGGAAGACCCTCAATGAGATGGATTGACACAGTGGCTGCAATAATGGGCTCAAGCATAGCAACAGTTGGGAGAATGGTGCAGGACCAGACAGTGTGTTTCTTTCTGTTGTGCATAGGGTTGCTATGAGTTGGAACCAACTTGACAACACCTAACAACAAGAACATATGCGTATATTATTGTGTGTGTGTATATGCATGTGTGTGTACACACATATATACACACACATACACATTACACCCACTACAGTCTACCTTCATGGTTAAGTGCTTGGCTGCTAACGGAAAGGTTGGTGGTTGCAACCCACCCAGCAGCTCTGCAAAAGAAAGGCCTAGCCATCTGCTCCCGTAAAGATTACAGCTAAGAAAACTCTATGGTATGGGGCAGTTCTTCTCCATCACATGGGGTTGCCATGAGTTGGAATCGACTCAGTGGCACCCAGCAACAACACAGTCTACCCCTTCTTGATTACCCAGTTCTCTTTCTCGGCCTCCCCATCTTTTTGTGTTAGTGGGAGAGGGTGGTTTTCAAAAGAAAAATCCAGATGTTGTTCCCATGCGGAAGCAGGAGGGATGGTTTCAGGCAAATACAGACATGGGTTTTTGTTCACACACAACATCTGACCCCTGCTCCGGGCTCTGGGGGCCGTTTGTCTTTAGGTCAGATCTAGATGATTATGGTCCAACTGCCTGTAGCCAGGTGGCGGTGCCACCCACCTTGACCCCTGATGTGCAGTGCCACAGGGGAGGCAGAATAAAGCCCCAAAAAGTGCCTACCTAAGAATGGGGTGGGTAGGGTGCGGCCCGGCATAGACAGCCACCTGTCCCTGGCACATGCCATGTGTGGCAGGATGGGGACAGGAAGGGCCCTGTAACCAGCTGCCGAGCCCCTGTATGTTTTCGGCCCATTGTCCTCCTCCACCACATTTGAGGCAGGTGTTGGGAACGACCCTTTCTGTGGGCTGCATCTCTTGAGAAACCCGCTCCTGGCAGGCTCAGGAAGCCCAAGTTCCCTTCTAGCACCTGCAGGTGTCCTGGCAGGTAAGCCCAACAGGTGGGAGGCTGGTCTAGTCTGAGATATGTTGGCCCCTGAAGGCTGTTAGCTGTGGTGCCAGGCCTCAGTTTATCTACCTGCCCTAGGCCTCAGTTATCTACTCCCATCTTGCCTTGGCCCTGGGGCAGTAGGGGAGAAGGCACTTAGACTGGTGACATCCCCAGGGCTAGTGCTCGGTGGCTTCATCCCCTGCTTGGGAGTCTCTCTCCCTGTTTTTGCTGAGCTCTGCCCTGAGGCACAGAGGGATTTAGCAGTCCACCCGCAGGGCCTCGGTCTTCCTTCAGCTGCCAGCCACAGGCAGAGGGCCCATCTCAGGAGGCTCTGCTTTCTCCTGGCTCCCTGTCCATTACCCTCTCAGTCCCCACAGCCATCCACCTCAGAGCAGCACAGACCCCAAGGCTTGAGTGCCTGCTCTGGGCCCGGCCAGTGCTACATCCTCTGTGTGCCATCTCACTCAGCCCCATAGGAGCGGCCACTCGCCCCAGTTCTCAGGGATTCCCCCAAGCCAGCGTGCCCAACAGCCACCCTGCACTCGCAACATCCCAGCTGCCTCGAGCTCAGCCACACCAGCCTCTCTTGTCCTTCCTGCCAGAATCCTGCACCCCCTCCCCCGTATCTCCAGCCCTGCCATCCACTCAGCAGCCAGAACTAGATCTCATCATCCCCCACGGAAAGGCCTGGCAACAGGTTCCAGCTGCCATCAGAATAAGCCCTGCTGGGTCTGATGACTGCAAAAATGGTGGTGTGGGGGCGTTGGACCTTCCCATCTAACTTCACAAGGTGGTAGGAGAATCATTATTAGCGTCAAAACCCAAGGCTGATTTCTATGAGGCGGAGGTCAGACATACCTCGTCTCCAACCTTTTTACCAGTTCTGACACCAGCTGTCCCTCCCACAGCACACTCTGTTTCTCTGAGTTCAATAATTCGTTGGCAATAGCCACACAACTCACAGTCCATACTCACAATTATGGGGTTTGTTAGGGTAGTAACAGGGTACGGTTCAGGATCAGGAGCAACTCAGGATACAGTTCTTCTGTCAGGACAGCTTCTCAGCTGTGCCTGGAAGCAGGTCTCTCTGGCCCTCTGCCCCTCAGGCTGGCTTCTGCACTGCTTGGGCAAGTGTTAAAAGCTCTTTAGCTCCACCAGTAAGTGTCCAGAGGCACCCTACTTCACCAGCAAGCCTCAGCCTGAAGGCATTTAGCTCTTTTGCTTTGTGGGTTGGCCCCTGCACTATGGGCCAGGAAGCCCACTGTGCCATCTTGCACCAGTCTCCTGATTCTGCTGCTGCCGTTTCTCTGCCGCCGCTTCTCACTGTCTTGTGCTGTCTCCGGTGTTAACAGCTCTCTCTCTGTTGCCTGGGTCTAGGAGGTTCTCAGCACAGGGACCCTGGGTCCAAAGGACACACTTAGCTCCCATCTCTTCTTGGTGTTAATGAGGACCCCGTCTACTTCTGGGATGGCTCATTTTAAGCCTAGCAGGATGGCTGAACCGACCAATACCCTTGTGAGGGTTCTATACACCTTCTTTGTATTGTCCCACCCCTACAAGGGTGTCATGCATCTTATTTGCATTATTAGGAAACTATCCAATCCTTTTGGTGGGCCACAAGCACCTCATTTGCACAGTCCCACCCAGTTATTTGTTGGGAATTACAAGACCATGGAGAGAAAGGCCATATAAAAACAATCCATCACCTCACAATGACAGATGGTGGTAATGGCTTCACTAACATCTGTCCCCCCACCAGACTGCAACCTTTGTGAGGGCAAGGAAAACGTATGTACTGGTCATGGTCAGGCCTGGGACAGCCTGGGGCTCAGCCCAGAGGAGGCTCAGTGCCATATCCAGGCCTGTCCTGTCGTCAGGGTGACTGCAGCAAGGGGAGCACAGGGCAGACGCTAGAGCAGGACTTCCACCTCGAGGTGTAGATTGCTCACCAAGGGGGCGGGCAGGTAGAGGTGAGTGGAGCCCAGAGTTCTGCAGGACTCAGGTGACCGTCTCTGTCCCATCTGCCCCCCCAACAGTATCTGAAGAAGCTGCACACGCAGGAGCGGGCAGTGGAGGAGGTGAAGCTGGCTATCAAGCCGTACTACCAGAAGAAGGACATCACCAAGGAGGAGTACAAGGACATCCTGAGGAAGGCCGTCCACAAGGTGGGGCACAGACAGGAGATAGACGGGGATAGAGGAAGAGATGGGGAAACGGACATGTGCAGAGATACAAGGGTGCAGGTCAGAGGGGCAGGGTACAGTCAAGTTGAGGTGGTGGGATGGCCTCATGCCACCCTCCAGGCCTGTTCCACTGGTGTCGTGAGCTCGTCGGGGGATGAGTGGGGATGTTGGCCTGGATTTTGGGGACCGGCTCCCATTCCAGTCCCAAGCTGAGCCCCACAGTCCTGGGTGGAGGGCCGCACGGGGTGGCAGTGACTCCAGTTGCCCCCTCGCCCCCCTAGATCTGCCACAGCAAAAGCGGGGAGATCAACCCGGTGAAGGTGAGCAACCTGGTACGGGCCTACGTCCAACGCTACCGCTACTTCCGCAAGCACGGCCGCAAGCCCGGGGACCCCCCAGGACCCCCTCGGCCACCCAAGGAGCCAGGGCCCCCTGACAAGGGTGGCCCAGGCCTGCCCCTGCCCCCTCTCTGAGGCCCCCAGCCATCCTACCCCTCACTTGCCTCTTCGAGAATCTGGACATATTTATGGCTCCGCCTCCCTGCTTCCTCTCCCTGTCAGTGGGATGATCAGGGGAAGGTTGCTGTGGGGAAGAGAGCCCCCCGCCCTTTCCAGTCCCCTGCCCATCTCCCTTCCCCCAAGCTTATCCCCATTGCCCCACTCTCTGTTCATGTCCCTTGCCCTCAATTTCATTAAAGATTTCATGAAATGTTACCCCTGAGCCATGCTTTTAGCCCTTTCTTCTTGGAGACAAATTGTCCTGAGTCCTGAAGGTGGGTGGCCTGGAGACTACACTCTGTGGACTTGTGCATTCTGCTTTCAGGGTCTCAGTTTTCTCATCTGTAAGATGGGCACAGTAATAGCCCTCCCTTGTGAGGGTTAAGCAAGACACAGGCAGAGAAAGCACTTAGAATAATGCCCAGTGTGTAGTGAGCTGTTGGTAAACCTTAGCTGTTAATAGACTGTGGTGGTGGTAGAGTTCCGGGGTCCCAGGCCCCACTGACCAGTGTCTTCCAGGCTTGGGGTATCTGGGTGCTGTTTGCTACCTCAGAATGGCCCCCAGAAGTGGTCTGTTTGTCCCCCATTGAGTTGGATTCTCTTCAGCAGTCCTATGAGGGTGGGGTGACTTAATCCACCCTCCCGGGATGGTGAGGGAAACCGAGGCACAGAGCGGCCAGGGCCACGTGGCGAGTCATGGATGGTGCCGAGGCCCAGGTAGGAGACGGGACTTGCTGAGGTCTTGCAGCAGGATTTGGGTCAAGTTGGGGGGTGCCCAAGTCTCCCCAAGATGGGAAAGTCTGGGTGGGGAGAGCTCTGCTCGCTGAACATCCATCCAAGTCATTCTAGGCCAGCAAGCTGAGCACTGAGGGCCAGCTCAGGAAGTGGACATTGATTCGGGTCATCTCCTATTTCCTACCTGTGACCTCTGCCCCTCTGCAAACCTCAGCGTCTCAGTCTGTAAGATGGGGGTGACTGTCCCTTCCTCACCAGGTCACTGGGAGGGTGTAAGGAAGTGACAAACATCAGCTGCCCCCCTGCAGGTGTGCAGTGAGTATTGGGTCACGAGTGGCTTGCACATGTGGGTAAACTGAGATACTAGTCAGGAATAATGCCCAGCGTGGGTCAGAGCTGGCCTGGGTACACCTAACACCAGACATACATGCAATGATTGTAACAGGAACCAGTTTATTGGTCAAGGTGAGGGGTGGGGGGCCCGCATCCCGGAGGTATGAAGCCTCAGGCCCCCCCAGCAACTTAGAAATCCATGTCCTCGGTTAGGTCTTGCAGGTAGGCCTTGTATTGGTCTGAGGTGAGGGAGAGCGGATGGCTATTAGAAATGTGCAGGTCCATGGTGGTCTCCAGCGAGGAGGCACCCCCGACCCGGGCCATGTCTAACAGGGCCCGGAGGCATGTGGGAACTACCTGCAGGAGGTGGAGAGAAACCCAGAGTTAGAGAAAACAACACTCGTGCCACCCTGCCCCTCCTGCCCTCGAGGCAGCTGAGAGGACTACAACTCCCAGAAGTCCCCAGTATAGACCATGATGCACCATTAGGCCAGGGAGTGGAAATTTTTCCCATGTTGACCCAACAGAGGAGACCAAAGAGGGTTTCTGGGACAGAGGTTCCCAGAAGCCCCCAGGGCTGAGGAGCTTCTGGTCAGAAGGGGTCCTAGGAGCTGTAGTTGCTCATGTGGTTTCGAGAGCGCAAAGCAGGCTCTCTGGGTGAGGCTACTGGAGGGGCAGCCCCAGGAGAACCTGGGGATGAGGAACTAGTGGTTGATGAGACTCTTGGAAGTTGCAGTTTCTCAGAGGGGCTTCTGGGAGTCGTTCCTGGGAGCAGCCTTTCCCCCATGTCAGCCCCACCCCTCTCAGGCCTAGGAGCCCCAGGCTCCTGGTACCTTGACCATCACCAGCTTCTTGGTCCACGGCTGGTCCCGGGGCCATGACTCCCCAATGCAGAACCAGAGGGTGTAGCGGGGCGAGCGTTTACTTCCTTCGATGAAGGCAATTAGATCTGGGGGTCCAGAAGCGCAGTCAGGGATGGGAAGGGGCCCCTTTCCCCACCTCCCTCCAAACCTGAGTAGCATCCCCACCTCTTCCCCTGACCCAAGGCCCATCATGGCTCTGCCACCATGACCCGGGGGCTGCTGGTTTGAGGAAAGTCCCCACAGTTCTCGCACAAACAGGCACCCCTCCTCCCTCTCTGCCATCAGGCCAGCCCTGCCTCCCTAACCCACCATGGGAGCCTGAGCATTCAGAAACAGGTCCAGAAGAGGGGACTCCTCTTCCTGTAGGATGCTTAATGATCCTGGCTTAGAAGGTGCTGGGTGTTGACTGCTCCCAAACCTCTAAAGCCGCCCTGTCTAACAAACCCATTGCCTTCCAGTTGATTCTGACTCATAGCAACCCTACAGGACAGAGTAGAGCCGCCCCATGCGGTTTCCAAGGCTGTAAATCTTTACAGAAGTAGACTACTATGTCTTTCTCCTGCAGAGCTGCTGGTCAGTTCGAATCGCTGACCTTTTGGTTAACAGCTGAGCACTTAACCACTGCGCCACCAGGGTCCTTGCATAGCCGTTATTACTGAACTCTACACTTCAGTTGTAACTAGTTACAATGAAATAAAATTTTAAAACTCCGCCTGCAGTTGCATTAAACCCTCAGTAGCCACGTGGGGAGCTACTGGTGGCGCAGTGTCAAGAGCCTGGCTGCTAACCAAAAGATCAGCAGTTCGAATCCACTAGCTGCTCCTTGGAAACCTTATGGGGCAGTTCTACTCTGTCCTATAGGGTCGCTATGAGTCAGAATCGACTCAGCAGCAACAGGTTTGGTTTTTAACGAAGCCACATGTGGTCAGTAGGTACCATATCGGAAAGCACAGCGAGAGCATCTCCATCATCATGGAAACTTCCATGGGAGACCAGAGCCCTCAGGTATTTTATCTTTCCTGCTAGTTTGTCTGTCCACCACAATAATTAATACTCAACGATGGTAACAACAGCGCCTTCTGTACACTGGGCTCAGCTGGGAGCAAGCAGGCAGAGAGAGAACACGGGCCCAGAGCAGTCAACTCATCTGCCCCAGGACACACAGCAAGCAGAACAGCAGGGGCTGAATTCATTTGATCCCAAACTGCCGGACACCAGCGGTCTCAGGCCCCCAAGCTAGGTCCCCAGTTCAGTCACCTGCCACAAAAGGTCCCAGGTTGAATACGACTCCTTCCCAGTCTTTGGGGACCTCTCCATCTGGCCCATGAGCGCCATCGGGGAGCAGCTCCTCACCCATGGCCCAGTACGTGTGGCAGTGCCCCAGCCTTCGGGCGCAGAGCTGTTGCCCTGCCCTCCACAGAGCGAGGCCCCCGCCCAGGGAGCTCAGCACACGCCTCACGAAGCTTGTCGCCCCCTTGTCTGTCAGGGCCATCCCAGGATCGGGCAGCAGCATCGGCTGCCCAGACAGGGTACTGTTTGCTGCTTCTGACCCCACCAACCGCAGGCCTCCTGGACAGAAGACAGCCTGCTGGAAGACTTGGCGGCCCCGGTAGAAGGCGGTCACCTCAAACTCCCATCCTGAGCAGAGGCAGCATGAAGGGGGAGAGAGAGATTGACAGCAAGTGTAAGGGGGTCCGTGGCCCCTGCTCCAGCCCCTCCCATCCCACGGCTGCCACCTACCTTCCTCGATGACCAGCAGCTGCCTCAGCGGATTTTCCAGGGGTGTTTGGTTTGGGGAGGGAGCAATGATGTCCACGCTGGGGCTCAGCAAGAGCTGAGGGGGGTGCTCAGAGGCCACAGCCAGGCCTGAGGGCCCCCCATCTGGGACTGAGGCCAATACCATGTCACCCAGTAACTCCTCCAGAATGTCTGCCTGGAGAAGAAAAGGAGTCGGGCATTTCAACAGCTGTTTCCAGAGCAGGCCCTGTGCTCAGCCATGTGGGGACACACAGGAGGGCCAGACTGAGCCTGGCCTTCAAGGGGCTCCCAGTCTGATGGCAGAGACAGCCACAGGCACAGACAGCAAGACATGTATGTACCAGGCACTACGATGGCCCTCGGCCCTGGTGGCACAAATGGTTAAGTGCTCGGCTGCTAACCAAGAGGTCAGTTAACCCACCCAGCAGCTTTGTGGGAGAAAGACCTGGCGATCTGCTCCCGTAAAGATTACAGCCTAGGAAACCCTAGGGGGGCAGTTCTACTCTGTCATATGGGGTTGATGGCACCCAACAACAATGCAGGAGGAGCCAATTCCAACCCATAGATCTGGCAAGACCTGGACATGGGACCACGAACAGAATCTCAGAAGGGACCTTCCCTGGCACGAGCATCAGCAAGATCCTGGGTAGGGGGGTTCTCAGTTCCCAAGAGCCAGAGTGCACCCTGTCAAGCGAGAAAGCTTTGAAATTCTGGTAAGGTGTGTTAGGGCCTTGAGGCCTGGGGAAAACTCTGAATTTTCTTCTGAGACACGGGGGAGCCATGGGAGTTGTGTGAGCAGGGGAGGGAAAGGTTGGCTCTGAGTCATGTCGGCGACAGAGTGGAGGGGAGATAATGGGGCCGGGGGAGGAGAGGCTGAACAGGCTGTTGGGGACGGAGAGGAGCGGGTGGGGCAGAAGTGGGGACACATTCTTACCGGAGTATCGGAGGTACTGCCTCTGTCATTGGTGTCTGGAGAGGTGTCTGACTCAGGAAAATCCCTAACTCCTGTCGAAAAGGGTAGTGAGCCCAGAAAGGGTGCTGGGACCCCCCCACCGCAAAGATCCCAATCTTCCATGCGAAGGCCCACCCCTCGCACACCTGGAGTCACAAACTCGTAGACCTTGTGGGGGTCAAGGGGGTCCTTGCTCCGGTCCTCGGCTACACGCAGCACGTCCTTCCGGTTCAGGGCAGACCGGAAATTCCTCTTCCAGGTAGGGGGGTCTGGTTTATCTCTCTCGGGATTGTAGGCACCACTGACCTCGGCCCAAGCCTAGAGGGCCAGAGTGGGGAGCCAGCGGAAGGGAGAAGACTTCAATCCACCGATGGGGACCTAACACCTAACCCTCTCCCCAGCACGTTCTACCTCAGCAAGGCTCTACTCCAGAACTCTCGGATTCTTCGTGTCCCAAAACCTGCCCCCCAGCGTTCAAAAACTTGCTTTCTAATCCAGCCTTCTAGGTTCTACTGGGCGTTTAAACCCACCCACCACCTGCCCCAGGGCACCCTCTGTAATAACCCCACCCCCTAGCACTCTAACTCTATCTACACCACTGGTGTATCCTAACTTTATGATAACTAACCAGCTTTGGGCCTCTGAGCCTCGCCTCCAAAGTCCCAAGACCTGCTCCCAGTATTCTGCAACCAAGAGCCTACCCCTAGCCTCCAGGATGCTTTTCCTCAGCGTTCTAATCCCGACTTTCTGGTTCTATTCCCGGAACCTGGAGGTTCCAACCCTGCCCGCTATCGGCCATCAATTCGGACCACCCGGCCCTCTATCGATATAACTCCGCCCACCACCAGTGGCAGGTCTCTAACTTTTTGCAGGCTCTGCCCTGGCATGCTAAACCCGCTTTCTCCTTTTTATTTCTTAAATGAGAGCACTGATTCTTACTCCGCCCACTACTTGCAAGTCAGGCTACCTGCCCTGCTAACCGTGCCCCCTCCTGTTCTAACTCCGCCCACCTGCACCCACAAGCACATACACGGGCCCACGCGTGCTAACCCCGCCCTCTCGGAGTCTTTCCCGCCGGCGGCGCAGCTCCGACTTTCCCGTGCCCAGGTCCAAGCACCTGAAAGATGCGGAAGTCCTCCTGCTGCGTATCCTGCCGCAGGCGGTGCTTCCAAGGGATGCGGAAGCGCGTGCGGTTCGCGTCCACCCAGGCCACGCCCTCCAGCTGCCCCATGTCCAGCTGCGAAATGAGCCAGGGCAGGATCCGCGGCTTTTGGGTCCCCATGCTCTGGCCTGTGGGCAGAGCGGCAGGCAGTTCCTGGGCGCGGGAGGCCTCCCCGGCCGACCCGCGGGCGCCTCCCTCTCCAGAACCATGGCGCAATCCCCTCACCCGAAGGTTCCTGGGGTGCAAACCTACCTTCTCTATACTATAGACCTTCTACTCCCATTCCCTAGAGCAGCTTCCCAATTGAGCGAAGACCCCTCCCTTCCTTAGCTTCTTCAGTGCAAACCATCTACCCCCTAAATTCCGCCAGTGTAGACCCTTCTGTCTTCCATTTCAACCCCCTCCCTTCCCCACTTCCAGGGTAGAGCCCTCCCTTCCTAGTTATTTCAGTGCAGATGATACACAAGTGTAGCCCTCTACCTCCCACAGTTATCCCAGTGTAGATCCCTCTCTACAGTTCCCCCACAGAAAACCCAATGCCCCATTTCCAGTGTAGGCCTCCATTCACCATTCTCCCCAACCGGCAGCCTCCCTTTTCCAGGGCACGCCCCTACTTTCTAAAGAGTACTCCCTCCCATTTGCAGAGTACACACTTCTTCCCTCCCCCCCACCTCCCCGTCCCCCCATTGTAGACTCCTCCCTTCCTCCTAGCAGTGTAGACTTCTCTCTCCTGCCGACCTCCAGCGCCGGCCAGTGTAACCCCCTCCTCGCTCCATTCTCTGCAGAATACATAGCCACCGTCGTCACTATCAGTGCAGACCCACTCTTTCTCCCGTTCCTCACTTCTAGACGGCACCAACTCTTTCCCCAGCTCTTCCGCGTTACCTACTTTGAGGGTTGGGGCGCGCAGTGTGCTGGGGCCACCCCTGTCTTCGGGGATCCGGGTACCTCTGGAACTCGAAACTGTGCACAGCCTTTCCGTCAGCTGAATTCTAGAGAGGTGGGGTTTTCCTTTCTATTGCTGTCTTGAAATACAAACTTCATCATTGTTCGGGTGGCAGGCTCCAGGGCAAAAGGAGCGATCCCGTCAGCCCAGAGCCCTCCCCACACGCCCTTTTAAGGCTTTCCGGGCACAGGCATGCTGGGAGCTCCATATACAAATATGTGGGCGGGCAGAGCCCCGCCCCGCCCCTTTTACGTCAGGGCGATCTGTAGCCCGGCCCGGTGCGCAGGCGTGGGAAAGTTGAACTTCTACAGAAGTTTGCACAAGTTCATTGGAGGAGGGAGCGGAGGCTGGGCCCAGGGTCAGGTTAGTGAGGCGTTAGCGAGGGCTGGGTGAGCAGGGAAGAGGAGGGAGCGGGACCCGGAGCGGGACCCGGAGCGGGCACCCCAGCCCCGTTTCTCCGACACCCAAGCGTCCCGGGTCCAGAAGAGTCCAGACTGAGCCAGATAGTGGAACTACACCTCCCGGCAGCCTGAGCGGCGAACTAGAGCAAATCGAGGGGGTATGTGTGCCACGAAACCTACTGGGACTGGTAGTCCCCGATCCTCTAAGGATTTAGTAGCTTGGCATATGCCTCCTTCAGAATCCAGGAGTTGGAGCCCCCTTCTCCCTCGAGGACCTCCGAGACACCGGCCCCCTCCTCCCCTCAGACTCAAGACTTCAGGTCTCCACCGCGCTCCTCCCTCAGTATCCAGGAGTCTTGTCTTGGTCCCTCCTCAGCCCACTTCTCCCTCCAAAAGCGAAAGAGTGTGGGCTCCCAGACCCAGGAGTCCTGGACCCTCAGACCCTCCTCCCTCAGACCCAAGAGTTACGGCCCCCAGCCCCCTCCTCCCTCAGACCCAGGAGTTAGGGCTCCCAGCCCTCTCCTCTCTCAGACCCAGGAATCCTGGCCCCCAGCCCCCTCCTCCCTCAGACCCGGGAGTCTGGCCCCCAGTGCCCTCCTCGCCCAGGATCCCAGAGTCTTAGTTCCCAGCTCCCTTCTCCCTCTGGGGACTCAAGATCCTGGGCCCCCAGAGCCCAGGCCCTCAGCCCCTTCCTCCCTTGGGGACTCACAAGTCCAAGCCCCAGGCCCCCTCTTCATTCAGAAAGTGAGTTCGGGCTCCAAGCTGCCTCTTTTCTCTGGACCCTGGGGTCCAGCCCCCAGCCTCCTCTCTCACAGGTGCCCCCATGGCAGGCTCGGAGGAGTTGGGGCTCCAGGAGGACACACTGAGGGTACTAGCGGCCTTCATTAGGCGGGGTCAGGCCACCGGGTCCTCTGTTACAACCCCACCCAGGTAAGAGAGGTTGCCCTCCTCCCCCAGGGGCCTGCATTTGGGGTGAAGCCCTTTGTGACTCTTGCTCTCTGCCTCAGTCTGTCTCCTTTCCTCCCTTTTACTGGCTTTGTTCCCTGTCCCTGGGGTTTCAGGGAGGTGGCCCTCAGTGGGAGAAAGAAGAGACTGCTTGCAGGGGGCCTCTGGAGACACTCTGAGGTCCTTCTCCTCAGGAGCCTCACCCAGGAGCAGCCAACAGACTTCCTGAGCCGCCTTCGTCGATGCCTTCCCTGCCCCCTGGGTCAAGGAACAGTTCCCCCTGAGTCCCCTCGGCCTTGCTCCCTGCGCCTTCACCCCTGCTATGGGTCCGAACCTGGTAAGAGATTTCCCCAGATCTCCCATAAAACCAGCAGGGCCAGGTGCCTTGATTCCTGAAACACGGACAGGATAAGAAATTAGTTCAAGATCAGTCAGCTAGAAGGTAGCTGTGTGGGGTCTCCAGCACCATTTCTCCCTATCCTGTTCCTTTCCCACCCCCATAAAATTAGATTTCTATCTGTCAATTCTGTGGGCTGGCTATGGGAGGGCTAGTGATCCCTTTCTATCTGGTTATATATCAAGTTGATATTTAGTTGTTATCTCTCTCCTTCCATACACACTTCCCTACCCCCAGGACTTTTGTAGCCTTGGGTATTCCCAGTAGAGAGGCAGGAGAGCTGTTTTTCAGTCACTATTTCCTGGCCATTTGGGTGCATAACTCTGGGAAAATCCTTTCCCTTCCTGGCATCTCTGTTTCTCCAGCAGCAATATAGGAATGGGGAGTTGTGTCCTTGGACTTAATCAAGAATGACAAACAGGTCTCTTCTCATAGGTGAGGCTAGATAAACATGTAATGGCTGCTAGGCATGCTACCTTGACAGGGTTTTCACAGCTGGGGCTAAGAGTGCTGTGATCAGTTGGTGATGCCTGAAATGGATAAGGGCTAGGATGATAGTAGCTGGAATGCCATGTGTTTGCTTTCCTTAGATGGGATGATCTTCAAGGTCGAGTTCAGCCCTAACATTCTGAGTTCAACTGGCAGATGCAATGAAGTGGAAAGTACAAGGGTTTGGGGGTCTTTTACTACCCAGTTTGCTCATTGGACCTCAGTTTCCTATAAAATGGAAATCATTGCTACCTGGCAAGATGATTGGGAGAAGGAGAGAATCCCTAACTTCCTGATATCCTGAAGACCCCTCACCCCAGACTTTCACCCTAGGCCCAGCTACTCCAGACTTCTATGCCCTGGTGGCTCAGCGGCTGGAACAGCTGGTCCAAGAGCAACTGAGATCACCACCTAGCCCAGGTGAGGTGCAGAGGGGCCCTGGAGAAGGATGGGGCTAGGAGTGCAGTGGTGGTTCAATGGTAGAATTCTCACTGCTAGAATTCTCACAGGAACCGACCTGGGTTCAACTCCTGGCCCATGCAACTCATGTGCAGCCACCACCTGTCTGTCAGTGGGGCCTTGTAAGTTGCCATGATGCTGAACAAGTTTCATAGAGCTCCCAGACTAAGATGGACTAGGAAAAAACACCTAGCAATCTACTTCCAAAAATCAGCCAATGAAAAGCCTGTGGAACACAGTGGTCTGTGTCATGCATGGGGTCACCATAAGTCTCAGCACTGACTCCATGGCAGCTAACAGCAAAATGGTAGCCAGGATTCTGCCCCCAGCTGAATTCTCTTCTGCCCCCAGAATTACAGGGCCCCGCACCCACTGAGAAGGAAGCCCTGCTGCGGAGGCTGGTGGTCTTGCTGGAGGAGGAGGCAGAAGTCATCAACCAGAAGGTGATAGGTGGGCTGTTCCATCCCCCAGGGAGGATAGGAATAGGGGATGTCTGGGCACTGGGATCAGAAACTGGATCTTCATTCTCAGTGGATGTATGGTGGGGCAAGGGTGGGGACAAATACTCTAAGTTAGTGGCTTTCATTGACTGGTAGTGGGACATGGCCTAATAGTAGGGGTATGACCATCAGAGACAGGATCTAGGAGAGAAGTTGGCGGGGAATCTCTAAAATCTCAGGCCACAGTGTGGCTTAGAAAGTAAGGGAAATGGACTGCTGGAGGGGGCATGGCTTGTTTTTTGTATTGGAATCTGATTGCTCTGGAGTCTGGGTGAAGTGCCTGGCCCTATAATATTAGTGTCCTAGAGGGAGGGCCAGGTTGTGCTAGAACCTAACGTGCCCTCCAGGGCTTTGATTGGCCAGGAAATCCCCAGTGGGCGTGGCTAGAAAATTAGCGGTCTGGAAAGCGCCTAAAATAGGGCTTGGCCCTGATTGGCTGTTGAGCGCTTCGAGAGGGGCGTGGTTTAGCGTCTCTGTGTCTGGACCACCTCCCCGGGGGTAGTTGGGCGGAGGCCATAGAGGCTGCTTTGTGATTGGCTGATGGAATGGATGGGGCATGGCTTAAGGTGTTAGCATCTAGACTGCACCAGAGCCACAAGGCCACGCCTCCCAGCCTCCTATTGGCTGGGCACGAGCAAAGGGGCGTGACTGGGTGGCCCTACCTCTTCCGTTCTCTGCCCCACAGCTGGCCTCAGACCCAGCCCTGCGCCGCAAGCTGGCTCGTCTCTCCATCGGTTCCTTCGCCCGCCTAGCGGAGCTATTCTCTAGCCGCGAGACCAGCCCTAGCCGCGCACGCCCCTCATTACCGTGCCCTGGGCCCCCACCACCTTCCCCGGAGCCTCTGGCCCGCCTGGCCCTGGCCATGGAGCTGAGCCGGCGCGTGGCCTGGCTGGGGGGCACTCTGGCTGGACTCAGCGTGGAGCACGTGCACAGCTTCGCGCCCTGGATCCAGGCCAACGGGGGCTGGGTGAGCCGCTGAAGCCTTCTGGGCCTCCTGTTACGCAATTGTAATGTGGGGCGGGGGTTGGCTTCTGACGCTTCTTTCAGATCTGACATAAGTTTTCCCAGCTATACCATTCATTCCTTCTGTATTTATTGAGCACCAGCTGTATATCTGAAGCGGCCAATGACCAGACATTACGTAAGGCTTAAACCACTCTCCTATACACTAACCGGTTGTGAGCCCCGAAACAAGTGATTGCATCTCCCTGGGTCTCAGTTTCCACATCTGTAAAGTGGGGGAGTGGTAGTACCTACCTCAAAGGGTTGTCCAAAGGATTAAAGTGGGATCATTCTCCTAAGTACTTGGTGGCTGGGCTGCCGTGGGCATTTGTGTATGTGATTATCAAATTACTGTCTGCCTGCGCAATGGTGCCTGAATGCCCTTCCCCATGAGTCTTAGTCCGGGTTCTCTAGAGAAACAGAACAGTGAAATGTACAGGTAGTCCCTGACTTATGGCAGGTTCCAATCCTTGACTCCATCATAAGTCGGTTCTGAGGAAAATTGAATATTGCGGTTTTAAAAAAATTTTTTTTAGTTTTCATAATTATCACTTTTCTACTGTGTCCTGTAGGATCGCTGTGAGTCGGGATCGACTTGACAGCAACAGTTGTTTATTATCAGTATCTTTGTAAATCTGATCTTTGTCTTTGGGGGTTGGAAACATTACGTATAAACTTACAGATATAATTTAATACATACATACGTTAAAAAAATACACAGATCCAAAAAAACAGATAGTCGTAAGTGCAGTTCATCATAACTCTAGTAAGTTGTAAGTCAGGGAATATATATATTGGCTCAGTGGTTAAGCACTCGGCTGCTAACCGAAAGGTTGGTAGTTCGAACCTACCAGCCCCTCCACCAGAGAAAGATGGGGCAGTCTACTTCCATAAAGATTACAGCCTTGGAAACCCTATGTGGCAGTTCTGCTCTGTCCTGTAGCATCGCGATGAGTTGTAATTGACTCCACAGCAGTGGGTTTTTACTATATATATATATAGAAATCTGCCAAAGCTGGAATCCGTATACGGCGGAAACCTGTCAGATAAGGAAAACTCAAATACTTTCCACTAATAGAGAGTGATAGAAAAGTGATAAGACTGTACCCTGTCAGAGATGGAAAACTTGTGAGACCTGGAAAAACATGGCAGTCCGGTTGAGTTCCAGCTCTCACAGGTTTCACTGTATATGTACTTAAACATAGAGAGATTTACTTCAAGGGATTGGCATATGCATTTGTGGGGGGGCTGGGAAATCCAAAATCCGTAGGTCAGACAGCAGGCTGGAGACTTCTTCAGGCTTGTGTCCCACAATCCACAGGTCAGGTGACAGGAAGAGTGCAGTGTCGTGAGAGAGAAAGAAATGATCTGCCACAATATTTATAGTCTAAAAGCAGACCACACCCTAAGGAAACTTTCCTTTTAACTGATTGATTGCATTACATTAGATTACATTATGGAAAGCGATTGATTAGATTACGTTGAATTCATTACATTCAAATTCATAGCCCCTCCCCTAATTTCTACATCTTAATGGGGAGCTTCCATCTTCAGTGGAGTCCCTGTGTGGTGTAAATGGTTAAGTGATTGACTAGTAGCCGAAAGGTTGGCGGTTCTCACCCATCCAGAGGTGCTTCAGAAGACAGGCCTGGCCATCTGCTTCCAAAAGGTCACAGTGTTGAAAACCCTATGGAGCAGTGCTACTCTGCACACATAGGGTAGCCATGAGTCAGAATTGACTGGACAGCAACTAACAAAAACAACATGGAACAGTAACTAGTCTAGTGTTTGGCCAAACCACTGGGAACCATAGCCTGGCCAAGTTGACATATAAAATTAACCGTCACACTGTTTATCTACCAACTTTGCTTCCTCTACTCTTCTGGTTTGCTCAGATGTCACCCCACAGTGAGACCTTCCCTGGTCCCCATTTACAATCTCGTTCACCTCATCATCGCCCACCTACTCCCGTCCCCCTTCACTGTTTTACTTCCTTCCGTAGCACCCGGCACCTTCTAACATGGTAGAGTTTACTTGCGTTCCTCCTAGGAAATCCTATGCGGCAGTTCTGCTCTGTCACATGGGGTCACTATGAATTGAAAATCAACTCAGTGGCACCTAACAACAACAACTTATGTCGTTATTTATTTTTGTTAGTTGGCTTCTCCTGCGTCTAACATGTCAGCTTCTGCAGAGCAGGATTCTTCCCCGTTTCCAGACTCCAAGCTGGATTGGGCTACAGTGTACAGGCTGTGAGACCTTGGGCAACTGTCCCCTTCTCCCTGAGCCCCAACTTGCCCCTGCCTTGTAAACAGCTGTGGGAAGTCATTGCGAGAATGTCACATGTGGGGCTCCTGATTAGAATGTAGCCATGGTTTCATAAACTGGTAGGAGGAGCCTGGTGGGTTTGAGAAGCAGCAAGGTCTCTATCCCCATCTCTCTAGTCTCTACCCTCCTTTCTTTGGGCCTCTGTCTCACTCTCGTTGGGTCTCTGTCCCCCTCTCTCTCTGGGTATCTGTGCCCCCCAGTCTCTGTCACCCTCTCTTTCTGGGTTTCTTTTCCCCTCTCTGGGTCTCTGTTTTCACCCTCTCTGGGTCTCTGTTCCCCTCTCTTTCTGGGTCTCTGTCCCCACCTCTCTGTGGGTCTCTATCCCCCCTCTTTGGGTCTCTGTCCCCCTCTCTCTGGGTCTCTGTCCCCCCCTCTCTCTGGGTCTCTGTCCTCCTCTCTCTGGGTATCTGTCCCCCTCTCTCTCTCTGGGTCTCTGTCCCCCTCACTCTCTGGGTCATTGTCCCCCCCCTCTCTGGGTCTCTGTCCTCCTCTCTCTGAGTCTGTCCCCCTCTCTCTCCGGGTCTCTGTCCCCCCCTTTGGGTGTCTGTTCCCCTCTCTCTGGGTGAATGAAGGAGAAAGGGCAGGAGATGAGCACAGGGAGGAAGTGGTGGGAGAGGTCAGATGATGCAGGGTCTTGGGCACTGACAGTGAGAACTTGGACTTTGTGAGGGAAGCAGGAGCCACAGAGGACTCAGTGGAGGAAGGGTGTGAGCAGACTCAGGTGTTAACTGGCGCCGCCTGGCGGCCGCGTGGCAAAACAACCTGTGGGGGGCGAGAATGAGGGAGGAGGTGAGGAGGGATCAGACCAGGGTGGGGCAATGGGCGGGGTCTGATTCTGGATTTCATTTGAAGTTCACGCTGTGAGGTTTTGCTAGTTGACTGGATATGGGGACTGAGTCAAAGACAGGAGTCAGAGTGATACCAAGGCTGTTGGCTGACGGGCTAGCCTCTGAGTTGGGGGTGATGCAGGGGGTGGAGGGCAGGTCTGGGGAAGGAAGAGGCAGGGGGTGGGCCAGGTGAGCATGAGATCCCTTTAGACCTCCAAAGCAGGATGTAGAGGGAGCCGTGAATAGAAGTGTCTGGAGCTCAGCAAAGCAGCTCATGTATTTGTACTTTTTTTTTTTTTCTCTCTCTCAGTAATGGTGATAAGTAAGCTTGGGTGAGCGTTTGTGGTGGGCCAGGTACTGGGCTTAGGACTTCATTTGAATGATCCCTTTTAAATCCCACAACACTCTTATGGGGTTCACTTGTGGTCCTCGTCTTACAGACTCCAACAGGGAGGATCACGCTCCCCATTGACACAGAGCCAGGGCTCTTAGTCATCAAAACCCCAAGACTCTCTGGGTCTCTGTCCCCCTCCCTCACTGGGTCTCTGTCCTCCTCTCTCTGGGTCTCTGTCCCCCCACCCTGGGTCTCTGTCCTCCTCTCTCTGGGTCTCTATCCCCTCTATAGGTCTCTGCCCTCCTTTCTCTGGGTCTCTGTCCCCCTCCCTCACTGGATCTCTGTTCTCTCTCTGGGTCTCTGTCCTCTCTGTAGGTCTCTGCCGTCCTTTCTCTGGGTCTCTGTCCCCCTCCCTCGCTGGGTCTCTGTTCTCCTCTCTCTGGGTCTCTGTCCTCTCTGTAGGTCTCTGTCTTCCTCTCTCTGGGTCTCTGTCCCCCACGCCACCCCCGGGTCTCTGTCCTCCTCTCTCTAGGTCTCTGTTCCCCCACCCTCTCTGGGTCTCTGTTCCCCCTCCCTCTCTGGGTCTCTGTCCTCCCCCCTCCCTCTGGATCTCTTTCCCTTCTGGGTCTCTGTCCCCTCCCCCCGGGTCTCTGTCCCCCCCCCCTGTGTCTCTGTCCCCCTCCCTCTGGGTCCCTGTCCCCTTCCCCAGGTCCTTGCCACCCCCGTCTCGGGCTGGATGGAAGCTCTGTGATGGAGGACCTGACCCTGCTCATAGGCTCTACTGTTCTCTCCCTCCAGGAGGGCATCCTGGCTGTTTCTCCGGTGGACTTGAACTTACCCCTGGACTGAGATCTTCCTCAGAAGCTGCTACAAACCTGGACCTCATGTCCCTGCTCCCTTCAGGTGCTTCTGCAGCCTTCCTGTTCCACTCAGGGCTGGGCGGTGATGGCCACCCTATTTTACCAAAAAAGAAATTGTTTTAAAACTTTTCGTATTAAAGATTTTTAGTATTTAATTGTCTGTTATTTTACTTAAGAACTGAATTTTCTCACCCCATCCCTGCCCCGCAAGAAGAGGAGGTTGACATGCTGGCCACTGCCAAAAGGTGGCGCCATGGAAAAAAGGCCTGGCAATCTACTGCCAAAAAATCAGCTGTTGAAAACCCTATGGTATACTGCCCAGTTCTACTCTGACACACATGGGGTCACAGTGAGTTGGAATTGACTGGATGGCAGCTGTTTTTTTTTTTTTTTAAGATGCAGAGATTTGGTTCAGAGGTCCCTGAGGCTTATAAATTGAGAAATGAACCAATTCATTCATTCTAGAAGTATTTATTTTGAGTGCCTACAAGAGCCGGTCACCTGGACCCAGGACATTCTTAAAGATATCTTAAATATGATTCCGGTGAATTACATTTCTTTTCCCTGTTGATTTGTTTATTCTCACTAATCCTGTATTGATGGTCTTTGAGTGTTTCCTATTAGTTCCAGAAGAATATTAGGAACTTCCCTCGTGGGGCTTTCAGGCCACCACCTTCCTAGTTTCCCTCCTCGCTTCCCACTGCTCCTCCTGAGCCCTTTTTGCTGGTTTCTCTTCATCTGCCCTCAAACCAGGGGTCTGCACATTTTTAGGGCGATGGACTCCTTCACAGAATAACTAAACCTGTGGCCGTGGAGTCAACTCCAACTTACGGTGACTCCATGTGTGTCAGAGTAGAACTTCACTCCATAGGGTTTTCAGTGGCTGTGCCTTTCTTCCGAAGTACTTCTGGGTGCAGCTAAGCACTTAATCGTGTGTACTACCCAGGGATTCTCCTTCAGAGAATAATGTTTATCAACACTTAAGATGAAATGCACAAAGGATACTGATTATATCAAAATAAAGTTACCATGATTAATACGAAACTGTGACACAAAGATAGATGTGTTTCTTCATTAACATTGATTAAAAAGATCTAGAGGTGGGTCTAAAGGAGCCCTGGTGGCACAGTGGTTAAGTGCTCAGCTGCTAAGGGAAAGATCAGCAGTTCAACCCACCGGCCACTCTACGGAAGAAAGACCTGGCAATCTGCTCCCATAAAGATTACAGCCTTAGAAACTCCATGGAGCAGTTCTATTCTGTCCTCTGTATAGGGTCTCCATGAGTCGTAATCAACAGCAGAGGGTTTCTTTTTATTTTTTGTGGTGGGTCTAATAACTAGCATGATTTCAAAGTAGTCATGATCCTGAGTGACTTTTTATTTTTTAGTATTATGCTTTAGGCGAAAGTTTACAGAGCAAATTAGTTTCTCATTCAACAGTTTATACCCAAATGTTTTGTGACATTGGCTGCAATCCCTGTGGTGTGTCCACACTCTCCGCTTCTCCAGCCCGGGTTCCTTCGTTCCATTTGTCCAGTTTTCCCGTCCCTTCCTGCCTTCTCATCTTTGCTTCTGGGCAGGTGTTGCCCATTTGGTCTCATTTACATGACTGAGCTAAGAAGCATGATCCTCACGTGTGCTATTGTTTGTTTTGTAGACCTGTCTAATCTTTGGCTAAAGGGTGAACTTCAGGAGTGACCTTCAGTTCTAAGTTAAAACGGTGTCTGGGGGCCATAGTCTCAGGGCTCCTCCAGTCTGTCAGACCAGTAAGTCTGGTCTTTTTTTATGTGTGTGTGAATTTGAACTTTGTTCTACGTTTTTCTCCCACTCTGTCTGGGACTGCCTATTGTGATCCCTGTCAGAGTGGTCGGTGGTGGTAGCTGGGTACCATCAAGTTCTTCTGGGCTCAGGTTGGTGGAGGCTGTGGTCCTTGTGCTCCGTGAGTCCTTTGGACTAACATTTCCCATGTGTCTTTGGTTTTCTTCATTCTCCTTTGCTGTGGCTGGGATGGTACCAGTAGATGTTTCTTAGATGGCTGCTTGCAAGCTTTTAAGACCCCAGATGCTGCTCACCAAAGTCAGATGTAGAACATTTTCTTTATGAACTATGTTATGCCAATTGACCTAGATGCCCCCTGAGACCCTGAGTAACATTTTGAGGTGTATTTGTTTCCTGCTGCGATGTGACAAATTAACTCACCTTTAGCAGGTTATAATAATCCACATTTACGATTTCACCATTTCTGTGGGTCAGGAATCTGGAGCAGTTTAGCTGGGTTCCCTGCTCGGGATCTCACAAAGATCAGGGTGCCGGGGCTGTGATCTCATATGTTGAATTTCTCCTAATTTATTTTCTATTTCTGTACCTTATATGGAGTCCTGGCAGTGCAGTGGTTAAATGCTCAGCTGCTAACTGAAAGGTCAGTGGTTTGAACCCACTAGTCGCTCCGAACCCACTAGTTGCTCCGAGGGAGAAAGATGTGGCAATCTGCTTCCATAAAGATTTACAGCCTTGGAAACCCTATGAGGCAGTTTTACTCTGTCCTATAGTGTTGCTATGAGTTGAAATCAACTCGACAGCTATGGGTTTGGTTTTGGCTTTATGTATTGAACAAATTGTGTTTTACATTGTACTTTCCTAAAGATTTTTTTTTATTTTACTGAATTTAGAATTACACCTTAGTGGTACCATCAGAGGGCAGCGATGTATTATTGTATAATATTAAATTCAGTTCCATGAAGAGCTTTGTGGTAATTGGGTAAATTAACTGAGAACCTGGCTATGTTATACTGGTTGGTAATTTATTTGTTTCACCACCTGTCTGTCAGTTTGTTGTATTGTGGTGGCTTGTATGTTGCTATGATACTGGAAGCTATGCCACCGGTAAGCTATACCAACAGGGTCACCCATGGTGGACAGGTTTCAGTGGAGCTTCCAGGCTAAAACAGACGAAAAAGAAAGGCCCAGTGATCTATTCCAAAAATTGTTGTTGTTAGGTGCCATCGAGTCAGTTCCAACTCATAGTGACCCTATGTACAATAGAACAAAACACTGCCGGTCCTGTGCTATCCTCACAACCTTTGTGCTTGAGCCCATTGTTGCAGCCACTATGTTAATCCATCTCATTGAGAGACTTCCTCTTTTTCTCTGATCCTCAACTTTACCAAGCATGGTGTCCTTCTCCAGGGACTGGTCCCTCCTGATAACATGTCCAAAGTACGTGAGACAAAGTTGCAGTCCAAAAATTGGCCAATGAAAACCCTTTGGATCACACTGAACATTGTCCAACTCACTTTGGACCCCTTTACAGAATATCAAAAGGGAACAATTGCTGGAGGAGAACATCGTATTTGGTGAAGGAGAGAGCCAGCAAGGGCAAGAGAGACTCTCGGTGAGATAGATCAGCACAATAGTCACAGCAATGGACTCAAACACCCTGGCAATCATGAGAAGGAGGGAAAGTTTCCTTCTGTCGTACGTAAGGTTGCCGTGAGTCGGAGTCAACTCAACAGCAGCTGTCTGTCTCTATCTATCTACCTATACGGTAGATCAGACTTATCAAATTACATGTGATTAGGTGCATATTATTGTGTATGAATTACACCTTCAAAAAAGTTGATTTAAAAAAAACGACTAGAAAATGAATTTCTGTTGTCAGACTTCCTGCAATCAAAACACAGTCAGCCACTTGCTAGGTGTTCGACCTTGACCAAGTCACTTAACCTCTCTCAATTTCCTCTTCTATAAAATGGAGGTGATAATAGTACCTACCTCAATGTACTGCTGGGAGGATTAAATGAATGAATTTATAGAAAAGTCTTAGAAGAGTGGCTTAACCCGTTGCTGTTGATTCAGACTTGTGGCGACCCCATATGGTATAGAGTAGAACTGCTCCCTAGGGTTTTCTTGGCTGTAATCTTTATGGTGAGCCCTGGTGGTGCAGTGGTTAAGAGCTCAGCTACTAACTAGAAAAGGTCGAATTCACCAGCTGCCTTGGAAACCTATAGGGTGGTTCTACTCTGTCCAATAGGATCACTATGAGTCGAAATCAACTAGATGGCAATCTTTATAGTAATCTTTATGGAGGAGCCCTGGTGGCACAATGGTTAAAACGCTCGCCTGCTAACTGGAAAGGTCGGTGGTTTAAACCCACCAGCTTTGCGGGAGAAAGACCTGGCAATCTGCTTTCATAAAGTTGGAATCTACCTGATGGCAATGGGTAGCCACCTTCCACTCATGCTCCCTGAAGAGTGGCTGTTGTGTTGTTAAGTGCCGTCAAGTTGATTCTAATTCATAGCGACCCCATGTGACAGAGTGGAACTGCCCCATGGGGTTTCCAAGGCTGTAAATCTTTACGGAAGCAGATTGCCAGGTCTTTCTCCTGCGGAGCTGCTGGAAGGTTCGAATCACAGACCTTTTGGTTAGCAGTTGAATGCCTGAACCACTGGGCCATCAGGGCTCCTTGAAGGGTGGCTAAACCAAAAACCAAACCTGTTGCCATCAAGTCAATTTCGACTCATAGCGACCCTACAGGACAGGGGAGAACTGCCCCATAGGGTTTCCAAGGTGGACTCGAACTGCCAACCTTTTGGTTAGCAGCTGAGCTCTTAACCACGGCACCACCAGGGCTCCAGAAGGGTGGCTAGCACCTACTAATTAATCCCTGTTGGTAAACTTGATCCATATTTGGCCATAGCTACAAAGTGGCAACTCTGTCTTGGAAGAAGCGCAGCCAGATTGCTTCTTGAAAGCGAGGATGGTGAGACTTCGTTTCATATACTTTGGACGTGTTATCCTGAGGGACTAGTCCCTGGAGAAAGACATCACGCTTGGTAAAGTAGAGGGTCAGCAAAAAAGAAGACCCTCAATGAGATGAACTGACGGAGTGGCTTCAACAATGGGCTCAAGCATAACAACGATTGTGAGGATGGCTCGGGACCTGGCCGTGTTTCGTTCTATTGTACATAGAGTCACTATGAGTCAGAACCGACTTGAAGGCACCTAACAACAAATAACAACAAAGTGGCAAGGAGCTTGTCTTGAAGGATAAGGAAGTGTTAGCCTCTCCCCCGAGAACCGAGAACCGAGAACCGAGAACCGAGGA